AAGCAATTAATTAAAAGTTACGGCAGCTGACAAGAGTTTTTGAGAGTTTGTGCGACACCAAATGCTGAGCTTTGCTTTGATAAACAAAGTCAATGTTTACAAAGCGCAATATAATGAACCTGCGTTCTGATTCGGTGCTCGGTCTCAGTGTTGAGTACTCAGACCTGATATAAAGGATAAATGGGCCTCAGCAGAGGTTTCAGAAAACACAGTTTGTATGACCAAACTGTTCGTGTTTAAATTAGTTAAGATATCGAGAATGATTGAAGTTACAAATAAATATTAATGAAGAAGATGAGAGTATTCAAACTTTGGCTAGTTTAGTAAAGAATAATTTTGTGTTCTAGCGATCCATTCGAAAGTAGTATTGAAAGAAACGCGTCTCATACGTAACTTGGTTCAGGCTAACAATTTCTTGGCCCACTATTAGATAGCTACATGAACCTACCAAGTTAGTGAGTAATCAGCGATAGATTGGAATATCGATATTCATCCTGTTACTGAATACCTTGCAGGCAGACGCAAGAGCTTCGATTATAATTATCGCGGTCAAGTTCTCTGCAATTTCGCTAATGTTGCTTTGAAGATATTACATCCAGACCTTCACTCGATCATTAATTTCTGTTCCCTTCGAAATATTTGTTTTCTTGTAACTTGAGAACTTTCATGACTGCGATTGTAATTTTGAAGATTTTCAGCCTCATTTTCTTCCTTTGCTTCATAAATTCTGCGAAAACAACATGAGGCTCTCGTCCTGTACACCAAGCCTTGCTTGCAGTTGTCAGAAGTAGCGACCGCTCATAGGGCCAGTTTGTCATCCTAAGCCATTGCAGTCATCAGCTTGACGGCAGTTCGTGCCGTGAACTGCGACTGCGAGCGCCGGGCGTCACGCTATACCTTCGTCGTTCAGTTGCAATAAAGCCACGTTGTCTTGTCATAAGCCGGTATGACAGAGAATATGCATCTACATTTCAGTGCACAGCACAGGTGCTCACTTTCATCGTACCATGTTCGGACACTGCAAATATTTAACCGCATTTTTCTGCAATATAACGCGCAGTCTTTTGTTCTTTAGTCGCGTGATTGCTCGACTGGGAAAACATGATTGTTTTGTTTGGATATATATGAGCTTGGTGGCGTAGCACGCGATCGATGCATTTTTCTGGGTATCAAAATATGAGCATTTTTGCCTGTAGCTTTTTTATGAGGCTGCCCTGTCGCTTTTCTTCTCTCAGACAATACATTTTGAACGCCCAATGGAGCAGGAATACATTTGTTCGAACACGTCTTCTGAACTTTGTTATACAAAACATGCCGTAATAACAGACGTTGATCGGGCTGGATAATTTCATCTGCTTTATGATCTTAAGTTAAATTATGTTATAGATAAAAAAGAGAGAGACTGTTGGAATTTCGCAAAGAAATAATCATTAAATCGTACTTAAAATAACAATTTTGCAGTCTCATATCCATTGAAATTTCCTATAACTGTGCGTTTTCATTTTCGGTTATGTGGGGCATGGCAAACCTGGTTAGGCGTCGCAACATTCCGAAGCGACAGGTCTCTTGAATACGAATTCGAACAACCGGAATATATCATTTGAAGCATCAGGCTATACTTAATCTTCCGTTAATCTTCTCCGGACGACGAACATAATTATTTTATATGCTTCTATTACGGTTATTCCTAATCTAAAATTACAGGAACCAAAAATGAGTATAATTGCTCAAGTCAAATTTTAGAGAAAAACATAGAACCTTTTTTAAACTTTAGAGGAAATGGACATGCTTTAATTTTAACTCAATTTCAAAATGAAATGAATATCATGATAATAAATGAGCCAAGAGTAAATTATTTTAAAATCTGCTGCCTGATTTGTAGAAGCGAAGTTTTCCCCGTAAGAGTAATAACAACTACCAAGATTGTGGCGAGTTTATTGTTGAAACTAAGTAGGAAAATCGATTGATCATAGGCGCATGATATCAATGACGTTCCGCAGTCATAGATAAATGTATTTTATTTTATTTATTTATAAATTTCTATAAAAGCAAATACTCATTCATACCACTGGCCCTCAAAAACATCGAGCATATTCTTTGAGCTTAAGAGGCGCGTCTGGTCATAAAGAGAAAATTTTGCTATCTTTGTTTCGGAAGCTCATTTTGTCGCTGCGGAAAAGCGCGTCGAACGCAGCAAATAGCATGTACGTGTGGGCTTTAGTTTTTGCCTGAGGCTGCTTCAAATTTATATAAAATGAATATTTTTATTAATTTCTTACAGAAACTTATTTTTAAAAATGGAATTTATTATTGTGCGTTTGAACTGGATAAAAATTAGTCATGCGGCGCAGTGATGGTAAATTTAATACGAGAAATAGGCTATGGAAAAGATGGGGATACCTAATCAAACAAATTCTTTAGCCTTTACTACTTTTTTCTAATCCATTACACTCATTTGGCTCACCTGAATAATTGAAATTGCCATTTTCGCCTCATTTAAAATCCACATTCTCCTTTAATTTCCATGCTACAACATCGAGAGACATTTAATTCCTTTTATGAAAGAAATAGCTAGCGACTCTAGAAGCCCTTTTTTATATTATAAACTTATATATTGTTTAGATTATATAATTTAAAATCTAAGGTAAATTGGGGGAGAGGGAAAAATGAAAAAATTAACCAGAAATAAAAATAAATGTGAATACAAATAAGGGCCTTCAATGTCGCTAGATATTTGCATTGCAAATCAAACGATACAATATTTCTGGGTATTGTAGATTGAAAATTGAAAAGAAAAAGCCTTTTAAAAGTCCCCCTTAGTTCCCGTATTCTTTACATATCACGCTTATTTTCATTTTCTCGTAAAATTCAAACGAACCAAATTAATGTTCTTAATTAGTGTTTTACATAAGTGTACAAAGTTTCAGAGATATCGGTCAGTACGTACAGATTTTTTTTACCCAGACGTTCCCCTCACGTAAAATTATCCCTCGATATTTATCTGCTTCTCGTAAAATTATACCTCGATATTTATCTGCTTAATATATAACTCGGTATATAATAAATATGAAATTTAGCCAGCGGTAATAGTGATATTGATTTTGAGATCATGCATTGATGGATTAAAGTACAACTTGACTTTCACCGTCACAATCAATGATTAAAAAATTTTGAAAAAAATCTAAATCTATTTTATCTTGCTAGCCATCGCATAACGCAAGCCTAATTAACTCAATCATGTCAATCCAACCAATGTCAGATGTTAACTGCGTTATCTTCAAATGGCATCAATATTCATTATGTTGAGTCTTCTTGTGGCTAGGGCCACCTAAGTGGCAGTCTCAGGTGGCTCATAGCAGTTTGTAGGAACAACGCATCTGACTATTACTTCACGCAAACTGGTTAACCTCACGCAACCTTCGTACTGCTCCACGCTAACGGGTTTACCGCACGCACGAATAGCGCGGACGGCTTGTGCTTGAACTTCTACAGAGGTACTGGTCGACTGTGTCTTATTCGACTTATCTTCTAACGCACAGACGAGACGATGGTGAGTAACCGTAAGTTGATAAAGAGGAAAATTGTATATCTTATTCGGCGATGTGTGAAATTAAAGATGAATGCAAAATATCCTAGACTAATAATCAAATTTTTCTTGCAGGTATTGTGGAAACACGATAGAAATACGAAGAAATACCGTTTGATGTCAGTTTAAGTGTTTGGCTGAATTTCAGATTTTATCCTTGTTCATTCCTTGTAATAAACAAATGAACAATAAAAATATTGCACTTCTCTCAGCACCTAAGCGCAAAAAAGAGACTTAATTCGAAACGCTCTCGGGACCGTGGGCGAGAAGCATGAACATTTAAAAATAGTCAAGAGACAAGAAAAGATAAATTGCAAGAACTTAGACGTTTCAGGACGACCATATTCGAGGTTCGCGCAGGTTCAAGTCCCCCATTGAAATGCGGGAGGCGGCAGCAACATCGTGTATTTACGAGCAAAACTCTGGAGCATTCGTCGTTCTTGGCGCTAAAGTTGAGCTGCAATATTCCAGTGGCGCCCAAGAATTTGTTCACTCAGGGACATCCGCTCTGATATTCTTGACGAAATCTTTTCTTCTGCAAGCAGCGGCGTGTCGACACGTGTAGCTTCAAGGCAGAACTTTTGAGGTGAATCTACATGACATAACCTCTGAACTTGTCATCGATGCACATGGAAAACACGCCTTAAAAATAAAAAAATAACGATTTCGTTTTTAGAAAAAATGGCGCAAGAATTGTGGCGAGTTTGGTATTGAATCCATTCAATAGGTTTAAATGGGTGAATTATTGGAGGATGTGGACTTCGGATTACACTAATCTATATTGAGAGAAATCTGGTACCATGATCGGTCAATAAATGACCATAGTAATTAATTGACTTGTATTCAATTTCTATGTGACAAAGTGAATATCATTATTTTGTATTAGAATTTCGTTATGGCCACGCAAAAATTACTGGTGACATATTTTAAATGATTTACACTTTCAAATGATTTATTTTTTGTGAGTTGCAAACAATTGTTTTTCAATAATAATAATTTGGCTTAATACCTTCCGTAAATTCAAGTCGAAAAATTTATAGGCTCAATGCAATTCGACTACATTCCAAATCATCTTTACGTTCCATGTAGCGTTCGGTGAAAAAATACGTTGATACATCAATAAATCCACATATAAAGTATAATATAGCCTTTAGCAGGTGCTAAAAGCTTAGTTGTATGTGCTGGCTGTAGTGCGCAACTAATATAGTGAAACGCATACTGAAATATTTCAATAGGTTCTTCAGAGACTACCAAAATACACGCGTGTAAGTTGAACACAGCAGGTGGTGAAACATGCTCTGCTGATGAGTGTGTTGAACAGCACAGCCAGCACAACGGACCACTCAAAGTTGACTCTGAAAAGACCGGCCGAAGAGATACTCGTAGTTTGCAGTGACATCACAAGAACAAGCTGAGAGTTGGCCAAATGGACGTTCAAGATAGCTGAGTCAGCAGCAAAGATGGCCGTGGTGGCGATGGTGTGGTGGTTGGTGGCCTCTCTCGTCTCCTCCCAGGTTGCGGCTTCGTCAGAAGAAAGTGAGTAAAATTGTGACAATTTTTAGACATTATTTATCTCAGTATATTTAGTATTGCAGTCCCACATTTTCAGGCCTCACAAACAAGCTTGCATTTATTTAGTCTGTAAAAACTTTTTTTTATTTCTTCTGTCTTTCTCAGAGTTCGGTGATGAATATCGTATAATATTTAGATTTATTATTGTTGAAATCTTTTGTCTTAATTGATGTAATGTGAGATCAATTAATACAAAACGAGTGGAGATCCCCTGACATCAAGCCTGCAATTGCATGAAATATGTTTAATGTTCGTACAACTTAAATGGCACTGTCCAAGGAAATTCCAGAAAACTTCACCAGAAATAAAATATTATGCAGAGCCCAGTCATCAAGCTTCGTGATGTATAGTTGTAGTGCATTCTTGATTCGCGATGTAACAAGAAGCTATCCAATCAAAAATAGCAATACAAGTTAAAATTTATTATAAAACATAACTTATTGAAATTCAGAATACAGTATCCTGGCTTGATTTCTCCATTTTTCATCTTGAAAAGGACCAAATACTATTTTTCGTCGATTTTTCTGTAAATACAATTCCTCAATCTCAAGTTAAATCAATTGAATACGAATGCTTGAGAATAAACTCATAATAGGTTAATGCTAATAAATTAATCCAGCTCTTTCATGTTTCGAACAAAATTAGATCAAATGCAGGTTGTTTCGTCTCCAATATCGTTTAGAGTCTGTGTTTACAATTTATTATTTAGGAGTTTACTATTATAAGCGTATCTATTCGTTGTAAATTAAAGCATATCAAAATTTTTGTAGAACACAATTTTTTTATTTACCTCCTTGTACTTATGGTCAAGCGAACGCGTGACTGTTGGAAAACTTAGGTAAATATTTGTTAATCTTTCATAAATAGTGGGTGATCTAATCCGACTGTCAGTGCAAACTGATAATAAATTAATACATCTATTATTGATCTCACACTCAAGGTGTGAGATACAAGTTAAAATTTATTAATTAATTTATAATTTATTTATAAATTAATTTATAATTAATTTATAATTAATTTATAATTAAATTTATTTATAAATTAATGATTACTAAGCTTTCAATTTTAGAAAAATCAACGTTTTCCTGCGGTTAATTTTAACTTTTCAATTATTCACCGAGTTCAAATAAACTGTACTGCATACATGATCCAAGATAAAACCTTTAATATGTTCTTGTTTAAATTCTTGATTCTGTTCCAATATCCGTGCTTAGATATTCATCACAATGTTTGTTTATAATTAAACATGACATTATGTTGCTCATTGAGCCTCGGCCGCGCAGGCACAGGTACGATCGCTTTAATGGATGTACCGACATATGACAGAGCTTCAACTTTAACCGATGCTTGGTAAAACGCCCCCAACCCTCCGGTAAAACGCAGGTGTGGCATGAGTCAAAAATGTCTTGTAAATTATTTTCATTGATTTCATTATATAAATTAGGTTATACAGAAAGATAATTACTTTTTTCACGTTTGATGGGTAGATTCAAACTTAATTAACTAAGTTGGAACCCGATTGATTCACGAGTCATGAACACGAATAATAATAATAATAACATGAATAATAATGCAGAAGCCCGAGCAAATTTTTAATTAGGACCTCAGGTAGACTTTCTGTTATCAATAGGCTAAGATATCCCTATGCTCCCTGAATTTGAATTTAAAATTTCACATAGTGGGCAGTCGTATATATCTTTATATCTTACGTAAATTCGGCTCGTGAAGTTCGGTGACGCAGATTGATGAGACTCCGGAGGTGACGTCAGCAAGACGCCATCTAGAGATAATCTTACTTCGCTGGCCTCTGAAGGCCTCTAATGAGCTACAGCAAACGACTCTTAACCATCTAATGGTAAATTGCGTCACTCTTACGACCCGATAAAAATTAATGAACCGCTCAAGTTTCGCCCTAGCGCAGATTTTAGTTCTCCAAACAATGCGGCCGAAAACGAAACAAGTATTCTTTTGACGCGATTTATTCCCGCTAATGATTTTTGCCTTGTATTACTGTATGGAAAAATTTCCCCTTGAGGAAGGAAAAGAATTGAACTGTAATTAGCTTATTAACTTAATGTACCTCACAACTAAATTGAGAAAGCTCATATATAGAAGCATTCAATTCAAATTAAAATTTATACCGCTCCTGAGACTGATCATTTCACTTTCACATTCACCTTTATAACGATGCAATTAGGTAACTACGCTCGCCTTTCAGTCAACATCACTAATGAAGCGTCCAATTTATATCCATCCCGATGGAGCGAACCGTCTGTAGGTAAAGATTCGCTGTCGATCGCATGATATGCGAGTTTATGAACTAATGATATGCTTTGGTTTACACGCGCCATGCGCACACGCTTTGAAGTTATGCAGCACGCATGATTGATGATCGATCCGAGATAAGCGTTGTCGAGGCAGCGGCAAAATCGATCGCTCTTATCACCTGACAAACTCAATCATTTGCCGACGGCCAAGCGTCTGGAAGTTCCTCAACTTCCTTTGATTATTCTCGCTTGTTGAGGCTCATCTGCTCACAGGCAACACGTGTTTTATGCAAATTAAATTAATCCAGAGAACTTACATTACAAATGTTTGTTAGACGTAAGAACAACGTATCCGTTGCCGTTTAGCATGTGTAGTCACAAGCTAAGAAAATTAAAAATATAATGTGAATAATGAGCACTCAGATTCGCGATTCGATGCTGGTAATTTGATTCAGGAAGATAATATGCAATTTTGATTAATATACCAGATGCTATGCATATAATAAAAAGAAATGATTTAAAATCAAATGCTGTCGATATTGTAAAACCCTACAAAATTTGTGAAAACTTTTAAATTTTGGCTCAAACGAAAGAACATTTTTTTCAATTTCACTGCAAATGACACGTTATTTATGCAATCAAATCAATAAAACAAAATTAAAATTTCACGTATGAACATTTTAATTGCACTTATTCGTCCACAAGCATTAAGAAATCTTATATGTTGACTACAAATTTTACACTTAAGTCTTTTAGAGAGGTATATATATTCGTCGATTAATTATACCTTCACGTAATATTTTGCTGAGAGTGAGCCATACTTTGAGCCTCCAGTGACAGGGAACGGGTTTTGCTGCGACACTGTAACGGCCGTGAAGCACTACAATGAGCGCTTTTCATGCTACGGTTCACTCATTTGGACACGCAATGTCGTCATAGGATGGAAAATTACATTCTAGTTTTCTGGTGTAATCTTATCTAATCTTATGGTCCAAAAGAAACTAAATGAAATGATCCCCAGTCATGAAAATAGGAAGAGTTATTCAACCAAAATGTGTGATGGCTGGGACAGCATTGTATTTTTTCCACAATTCAAGGTGACACTGTCTTGGTCTGGCCTTCAAATAAACCAGAACGAAATTTTTTAATACGTATCATATTCTACACGCAATGTGTAACGAAAGTATTACTTTTTATCTCAAAGAGGAGCTTGATGAGTCTTGGACACGTGTCGTGCTGCTACCGAGCTTCCTTGCGCCAAAATTATAATAAAATTCCGAAAGTTTACTAAATTATGCGCGTAAAATAACGGAGAAACTTATCCTTGACTCGCGTAATCTCGTATCAAGGACATCGAGGCAAAATTTCTCGATGCCTTGCGAAGATTGAAGCAAAACAACCTTTTTCGATGCTCCAGTAGACGAAAATCTCTAATTTGAAACAATTTAGGCCCGCAACATGTTTTAGATTAAAATTTTTACTCTGAACATTATTCAGAAAATTCGTTACGTCAACACATGATTGTCTGTGAAATGAAATTTTCTTATTTCACTAAACCTATAGTGATTTGTCACCCAATCTGTCCACAAATGATTTTTTACTCACTTAAGTTTTATTGGGCGAATCAGGTAACATAAAATAATCATCAAAATAAAAATTTTATGCTGCACAATTTTGAAAATACAATGCAATAATAAGCTTCATGATATAGAGGTCTCTGAACAGTGTTCTTGTCTTATAAATTCTAGAGTATATAAGATCTCTTGTTCAGCGCAAAAGAGATTTTCTCAGGATTTTTTAACGCCACTTTCTACTAAATAAAGGCGTGCTTCACCTTCTTGAAAATCTGTAATCATAGGTGATTCATGGCTGGCCAACCATGAGCCGAAGGCTGCTGCCGATGACATTCTTACTCCTCAAGGGAGTTCCTTCTCTAACGCCTCCCTAGGACGAGATCCTGCCACATGCATGCGCGTCTTCCCCGACTTGATATTTTGCAGATCTGTTTGCTCAACATCCCCGCGTGTGTTGTCTGCTTGGTTTTATTATGAGAGTTTGTATTTTCACTGAGGGGAGGTGAGAGGCTCCCCTGACAGCCATGTTATTTCTAGCAGGTTGTCGGATAGTCGAACTAGAACTAATATCTGACCATATGCAGGGAAATCGAGGTATCGAATATGATTCTGTTAAATACTTAGTTAAAAAGGGAAAAATAAATCAAATTTTTCTTTACAATTTAAACCAATTCGGACCTGACAGCATAATCTCATTACTATTGAGCGTAATCCAAATCTATTAAAAAATAATCGCACCAATAATCTGAGGAATAAATTGCAACTTCTAATTGAGTGCCTTGCCTGTCAGTAATCAAATTACAAAATTCTAAAATACATGAGAAGATAGCAGCTAAAATTTATTTTCGTGAAAAAGTTTTTTTTTGGGCAAAGAATGATAAATATTCATTAATAAGATAATTTATTTTAAAAAAAATGTGGTGGTTCATGTATTGCAAATTGAACTGAAAAAATTAGTGGAAGAGTTGACGAAGGAAATTAATTTTATATATTTTTGGTTGCCACCTCGTCATTAGGCACGTCTAATTACAAGATAAGTGACGCAGACGAGCGATTATAACGAGAACACATCTGCTGAAGTTCAGATATTCATGACTTGGTCAAGACTTGAGCAACACAGACA